ACATCCTCTATAGCATTTTTTTTTTTTTTGGATGATAGTCATTCTGTGATGACATGATATCTCCTTGTGGTTCAGATCTGCATTTCTAATTAGTGACACTGAGCAATAATGCCTCATTTGTACACTCCATATATTTTAAAGCATTTTTATATTCAGTATTTACGTTATTTAATTTTTATTTATTTTTTTTGTTTTCAAAATAGCCTCGAAGGTAGAGAAGATTTTATCGCCCAATTTTAAAAAATTAATTTTATTTATTCTAACTCAATTCAATTTTTCATGTCTCTGGTTGAACACAAAGTAGAGTCACACCATTCGTGTCTTCATACATATACTCAGGGTAATGATGCCCGTCTCATTCCACCATCTTTCCTACCCTCATGCTCCCTCTTTCCCACCCTCCCATATGTAAAGTTTGTCTATTCCTCTCATCCCCACCCCATCCCCATTATGAATCAGCATCCTTGTATCAGAGAAAACATTCAGCATTTGGTTTTTTGGGGATTGGCTAACTTCACTTAGCATTATCTTCTCCAACTCCATCCGTTTACCTGCAAATACCATGATTTTATTCTCTTTTAATCCTGAGTAATATTCCATTGTGTATATATGCCACATTTTTTTATCCATTCATCTATTGAAGGGCATCTGGATTAGTTTCACAGTTTAGCTATTGTGAATTGTGCTGCTATAAACATTGATGTGGCTGTGTCCCTGCAGTATGCTGTTTTTAAGCCTTTGTGTGTAAACTGAAAAGTGGGATAGCTGGGTCAAATGGTGGTTCCATTCCAAATTTTCTAAGGAATCTCCATACTGCTTTCCAGATTGGTTGCACCAATTTGCAGTCCCACCAGCAATGTAATAAGAATGTGTCCTTTCCCCCACATCCTCACCAACACTTATTGTTATTTGTGTTCTTAATAGCTGCCCTTCTGACTGCAGTGAGATGAAATCTTAGAGTAGTTTTGATTTGCATTTCTCTAATTTCTAGAGATGTTGAACTTTTTTCATATATTTGTTGATGGATTGTCTATCATCTTCTAAGAAGTGTCTGTTCAGTTCCTTAGCCCATTTATTGATTGGATTATTTTTTGGTATCACCTCATTTTATAGATGCAAAAACTGAAGTCTAGTCAGGCATTCAATGACTAGTGGAAAGATATGTAAGCATTTTTGACAGGGCTGAAGGGAGCCCTAGTGACTGGAGCCCACTCTCTTTGCAAATTCCACATTGAACTTCTCATTGTGATCAGGTTACCCTTGAGTAGAATGGCTGAAATTGAGGAGTGTGGGTTTAGATACCTGGATTTAAATTCCACATCTAACCTAAATGTTTCTATTAAGTAATTTTGTTTCTATGAGCCTCATTTTCTCATATTTAAAATGGAATCAAAATAGTACCTTTCTTATAAGATTGATGTGAAGATTATTTTGGATACTACATTTGCAACACTAATGAAAAACTGCAGCTAGGCATATATGAATGAGTCAGAGACCCTCTGTAATGAAGTATTTCTTATTCTATGAAGGTGTGTGTATGTACCTCCATGTGTGTACAGGGAATGGGGATTGGTTAGAGTCTACTTAATAAGGTTAGTTTCTTCCCGGTGAAGTTGAGTTACTTCCGTTATCACTTAACTTAAATCTGAACAATTTCAATTGTTAATAAGTTTCTTACCAGGAGGCTGAATGCTTTAATAGATCTGGATATGGCTTATAAATCTTAACCAGGAAAATTTGAAGGAACTGACTAATTCTTTCTAAAACATTTTTAAAACTGTGGTAAATTACAGATAACATTACATATAAAATTTACCGTCTCAATCTTTTCTATGTGTCTTCTTCAGTGGAATTCAGTACAATCACACTGCTGTGTGCCAGTCACCATCACCCATCTCCAGAATGTCTTTATCTTGCAAAACTGAAACTCTTTCTCCATTAAACAATGACTCCCAATTCCTCCAGTCCCTGAAGCAGTCTACTTTCTGTCTCTATGAAGTTTATTATTCTGGGGACCTTGTAAAAGTGAAATCACACAATATTTATCCTTTTCTTCATGGCTTACATTACTAAAATATTGTCCTCTAAGTTCATCCATATTGCATGAGTTGTCAAAATTTCTGTCCTTTTTAAGGCTAAATAATAGTTCACTGCATAGATATACCACATTTATTTATCCATGCACCTGCCAATGAACACTTGAGTTGCTTCTAAGTACTGGCTATAATGAAAAATGATTCAATGAACTTGAATGTAGGGGAAACTAAATAATTCTTACTCAAAGCAGCCTTTTTTTGAGAAGTGGATAAAGAACAGAAGCTTAAGTAGAAAATAATGTAGTGCAGTGGTGCTACATCTGAATTAATTAATTGCATCTAGTTAGGTTGTAGAGACAAACAGAAACACCACATCATATGCTTTGGGAGAGGTCAAGCATGAAAACAAAAATCTGAAATTGATAAAATCTTTAGGAGAGCAATTTTTTTTTCATTAAAGTGGTGAATGATATCTGATTGCAAAGGTCAGGGGCAGTGTACCGAATTTTCCAGACTCATCCTTAAGACAAACTATGGAAACTCAGTAGAATCCCCTTGGCAGATAGAAAGCTAGAAAAGTCAGGGGGAAAAGCATGAATTGGAGAAAAATTCAAGAATCAGCATTTTATGAAGATAATCTCTAAAAGAGATGAACAAATAGAATTCAGGGGGCCCTTCCAAACTGAACAGAATGCAGTTTCCAATGGGTGTCTCAAAATACTGGAAGTAAATGTAGTTCTTTGAAAATGGAGGTCAGAGAAAATCTCTAGTGGAGAGATCAAAAATCATTCAGAAGGCATTGACTTATTTTTTGAACAAACAATACAGAGCACTCTCACTGTGTTTTCCAAAAATGACCCCACCAAAAGCTTCCTATCTGGCGTGCTTCCAGAATCTTGTCATACTCATAGTGGGAAGCAGAGTGTAAGGCCTCTCCCCTTGTATCTGAGTACTCGTAATTAAGAGAGTACATGTAAGGATGTAATCTTAAATTGAGTAAGTAGTCTGGAAAGAGAGTGGAAATGAAATCAGAAAGGGCTTCGTGGCTTCTGATTTGCTGGTGGAATACTGTATAACTCAAAGCTCTCGGTTGTCATGGAAGGCACTTGCCTGTCTTCAGATGCCATGCTGAAAGGAAGCCCAACTAACCAGATGGACAGAGACCACACTGGAGATCTTGAGATTAGGCCAGAGGAAAGGTGCTCAAAAAGTCCCTAGCTCCAACATGTCCAGGAACTTCATGAGAGATCTCAAGGCAGAACCAGTGAAATAACGGGTCAGCCCTTTCCTAATTCCTGATGCATAGAAAATGAGATATAAAAATGATTGATGTTTAAAACTGCTATCTTTTGAATTGAATTCTTACTCAGCCTTGGATAAACAGAGCACTATTTGGGGGTAAGTACTATTTTTACAAACTGAAATACAGTAGTTTGAAAGTACAAGAGCACTTGCTGACAGGGGTTTATGTCCTATTAGAAACAGAGGACAGAGATAAATTGGATCAACACCTGCCAAAGAGACAGAATGGAATAACCAAGAATAATGGGAGAGAAAAACAACCAGGTATAGTTTGGTGTTTGGAGACAAATTAGAGAGGAAAGTACCTTGCACAGAAGGTAAGCACCTGTCTTTCCCTGCTTCCTTCCTATTGGATAAGAAAGAACTTGAGAAGGGGAAGGATTAAGAAGAAAAGTTGAGAGTTAGAAGGAAATGTGAGTGCCTCTTGGGATCAAGTGTAATTTGGAGGATGCAAACGTGTTTGGGTCCATTTTCTAGAGATGAGTTAAATGCTGTTGCAATAATCTCCCTTTTGGGGGCACTCAGGGGTCGTGCTTCCTTCCAGGTATGTATTGTTAAACAGTGGTAGAATGATCCTGGCTATAGGTGCTCTGTGGCCAGAACAAAGGGCAAAATAAGGGTATGATTCCCGCAGCCCCTGCACAAAACGTATAGTATTTTATTCTTCCTACTTTCTCTGCTGATGAATTTCTTATAGAATTATTTAATGACGTGAGTTCAATGGGCAATTTTAAAATCTACTTAATTTACCATTTCTTTCCTCACTACTGTAGCTCAAAGGGCTGCATCCCATACAGCAACCGAGCAACCTGAATGTGGTTGAGAGAAAAATCATCCGACATCAGACAATTAATCCTTAAGCAGGCTCCACCACTCTCTCCCTGAACCCCAATAGCCATGACAGAATGCTAGGGAGTTTCAAAGATCAAAGCAAGAGTGAATCGCGTTTAAGCAACAGCATCAAACACAGCTCGTGCCCAGTCTTAGAATGCCCGCCATGTCTCCAGACGTCCCACAACGTGAAGGGAATGAGTTTTACAGGGCAAATGCAATAAACGCAAAGGAGCAAAGGATGTAATCTTAAATTGAGTCAGTAGTCTGGAAAGAGAGACATGAAGAATACGCCAGTAGCATCGGAGAAACTTGTTACTGTAATAAGCTCAGGAATCGCATGTGCAGATCTCTGACATTAGTGAATATATATCAGTAAATTAGGATGACTATGAATATTCAGGATGCTTCTGAATGGACCAACCACAATGACTGACAATAGACCAAGTGTGAGGCCAAGGACGGAGTGGGCGGGATTGAGGACTGAATGAACAGGAACCCCGAGTCCCAGGTCTGGCTGATATATTGGATTCACTCCTCTGAGCTCAGCTCCCAAGACATTTCTCTATCAGGGCAGCAGCAAAGCAGATAGATAGCAAGGGGGTCTCACCCACAGGTGAAATACTCCACTCCTTCCAGGCAAGTTAGAGTGGCTCATCATGTCTTATGGCAGATCAATTTCAGAGCATCTGTTCCTGGCATTGAGCAAACCGGTAGGTCACAGTTTCAAATCCAGGATCGTAATAACTGAAGGGCATCATCTCGCCTGGGAAAGACTAGAGACAACTTCTGCTCAGCCTCAAATGAAATCAGGCTTTAGTCTCAGCTCACCTTTATATGGAGAAGCGTCCACATCACTCAGCAGATGCTGACAGTTACCGGGGAAAAGGTAGACACATGTCCCAGGTATTCCCTCCTCGTCTTGATAGATGGAGATGATGAGACTGTGTCTGGTCATACGGATGGAAAGCTGCAGGCATCCAAATCGTCAATGGAGCCCTTTCACAAGCATAAAATTCAAACTGGAGAGAGAGAGAGAGAGAGAGAGAGAGAGAGAGAGAGAGAGAGAGAGAGAAAAGTGAGACTCAAATTAGTAACCAAACATGCCTCTGTTTCCTAATGCTCATTCAGACAGAGGTTCAATGGCTGGAAATTATTGAAATGAGGCAGATGTCAAGGGATGCTGCAAATACAGCTACTTCCCAGCAGCAGTAATTGTGTGTCTGCAGTTGCTGGATCCTTGTTAAAAATCTCCACATTGTGAAGAGTCCTAAAGTACCTGCTGGTGCAACTTTCCTCTTTGTCGCCGAGTTGAACAAATGAAGGGAGTTTAAATCCCTGGGACTTGCTGGAGGCTGAATCTAAGCAGCATTTTCCCAATCATTACATTCAAGAGAGTCCTCCTGCCCGCCCCCTCCCCACTGCAGTATCCTTGGAGATGGACTTGCTACTTGCTCTGCACCTACCTCCCATCCAAATGGATGGGCTCCATTTGCATTACACAGGAAGAGGATCAGTCTCTGAAACATTCGGTTTCTATCCTGGGTACCATCAGGGTTGGTTTTCATTTTTCATACCAACAGATGTATGGCATCTATGCAGCGAGGAAACATTCAAGCTGAGCCTTGGATTTTGTAGCTATTGCTGTGTTTGAAAGGCAGCCCCAAACCAGACATTCTTAGTTCTGAATGAGGTTGAACATGGCGGCCGTGGCCAGGGGGGGAGAAGGGGGGACGGGAATCTATGCCTTTTTTCAAATCTAGATCCAGAAAGATGACTTGCAATGTTTTATTGATTCCAAGAAGGACACCTCAGGTTGAACAGGAAGCTCAGCAAATATATCTGATTTGGGGCAGGGGATGGGGTGGGACCATCCAGAGATGGCAAACTGAGATACATAATGAAACTAGGGGTTTATAGAGTGGGAAAAAAAAAAAAAATTCTTGTATTTAGTGAGGATGTCTGACCTGACACAACTCTGTATTGTAAAAATGCTGCAGCTCAAATGAGAGTGTTTTCCTATTTCAGTGATGTGCCCTCAGCAAGAGTGGCATAGCCCCTGAGGGAGGCTGGCTGTAGGGATCACTGTCCTACTTCTCCACCATCCAGAGTCACAATGATAGGACACGTCATTTGGCAGAAGTCCAACCCAAAGAACATCAGTGCTTCAGAAACACCACCTCTAGTATTTATTTTGAGATCATGAGCTTATTATTTTATGTTACCTATTGAAACTAAGGTCAAAATTGAAAATATGAAAGAGAGAACAATTTGTCCAATTTACCATGTGACCTTATGTTACTTTAGAGCAAGATTATAAAAGACAAAAATAACTTTTAAAAAGGCTTTGTTAAAATTTACATTAATCTTCACTGCATGGAATATGTTACTTGGAATGTATGGATTTTCTTCCCTCTATGTCCGTGAACACCACACACAAAAAAATGTAAAGTTATCTTTCATATATGGTTTTATATACACTTCAAGAGATCACACATTTTTAAATGTAAAATTTTAAATGCAATATGAGGCATATTTTCAACTTCACAAAAGAAACATTTCATAATTTTGTAGGATCTGTTCTAGAGGAAAGAACAGCTTCCCTACTCATGAATTATTGGTTTCTTCTACATTGATTGTCTATCTGGTTTCTTTTTTTCCCATTTATTTTTAGTACTTTCAGAACCAATGAATACACGTGAAATTCAATGTATAAGGAATTTGGTTATCAATTATGGTAAACTGGTAAAATTCAGACTCCGTACATGAAACAACTTCTACAAAACAGTGCAAGGAGTTGAGCTGGACAGGTCTTCATAACAGCTGTGGGTACACCATGGGCAATCTACTAAAATCATACCACTTCAAAATCAGTGTATCCATTTAACTTCAGGAAAATATGCTTAGAATTTTTTAAATTCTATGATCTGTAAGATTTAGTCATGTGAAGTGTTTTTATCATCACTTAGCTAAATTACTTATATGTGAAAATTGTATTCCATTTCAAACAATCCCTAAACAATGGATGGGATGGCAAAACACTGTTTCTAGAAACACCCCTAGACATTATATAAAAATGCCTGAATTGAGAGTGTCACAGGTAACGTACATATAGAATATCACGTTGACAATTCATGTACTTTGTTAATTCTTCTCTGGCTCGGTTGTGTAATTCTCACACATCTAAGAACCAAAGCAGGTATAAAGATGCTCAGAAAAGGCTTGGTTATGGAACAGATTGGAATTTGGGTTTTAGTCATCAAAGATGTGATAAACAACACTGGGCATTAATGCAGAAAACAGATTGAGCTTTTTAATGGGACATCAAATAAGAGTTTATTAGCATCTATTAGGTTCAACCCAAAGCTCAGGAAATAGCATTAATGAGCATCATATATCAGTCTGTCTGTTATTAGATAACAGTATCCCTTAAAACTAGCAAGCCATATAGTACTTTATACTTTTTTACCTTTATCTTTAGAATTAGCTGACATTCTATCCTGTTACACTGGCCTTACTATTAGTAATAGTGAACCAATTTATAAACCCATTAGTGACACTTTTTCCAGAAGATAAAAACAGTCAAAATTATCTGGCAGCAATTAATCTTAATGGCTGTATGCAGTAAACAGCAATGGGCTAATTCCAGCTCTGTCAGCCCCATCAAACAATCCCGCATTAGGCAGCTTTTCAGTGATCCATTAAGCATATTCAGAACAACAACAAATTCAATGCTGAAGGCATATGCACTAAACATTACAACAGTGATCTTCTGAAGCCATCATTATCTCTTAAATAGTACTTCCCCCATGTATTATCATTATGCTGTACATTAGAAATACTTTGATTAAACTCCCTTAATTCATAACAGACAGCTGCAGACCATTTATGCAGTTAATCTCAACACAACAGCTATTGAGGAAATATAACAAATGAAGGCTGTAAACTGGAAGTCATTACTATGAAAGATACTGGTTTTTCTAGCCCTCTTAGAGCAGAGTGCATCATGAGAATGGGCTTGGGGCCTACAATAATGGGAATGAAACCATTAATGACCTCCACTTCCCTGAAACATCTGCCCCAGAGCTGGATTGGAGGCCCAGCACACATGACCAGTTTAGAGGGGCCCTGTTTCCTGCGGATTGACCAGTCCAAGGGCTCAGTGGAGAAGAACAAAACTATGGTTAACTTGGATTTCCCAGTTTGGGTATTCAGAAGTCAAATTTCTAACGAATACAGATAATCTCGCTGATTTCACGGAATCCTGGCTGTTCAGCCTGAAAAACTATTCTGGTTGTGTTTTATCATTAGCATTAGCTTTGGATTTCTTCCCAACAAGTAGCGTCTTTTTAAGTTGAGTTCCTAGTACTTGAGTTTACGTACTTTAAAAAAAAAAGTCTGTCTCAAAATTTCTCTAGAAACTTTCTTTCTCATGTGGAATTTTTACTTAACAATTCAGAAGAGTTTTGCATTAAAAAAAAATCCCTCCCTCCAAATTCAAGACTTCACAGCCGATTTCATGTTCTACTGATTGAAATATGCACTGGCTGAATTTGATGAACAAGAAATCTGTGTCCATTTCCCCCATACTACACCTTCACAGACTCTTTCCTTTTCACAGGTAGAGAAACCATAAACATGTGCATGAATGGGCTCTATGTGCCTGGATTTTTTTTCCCCTCATATAGAGTTTATTTCAGAATCCTAAACCACAGACGCCGTGTCTACCTTTTGATGAAATGGCCGAGTAATTAAAACATAAATTTAGAGTCCCCTGCCAACTCTGACAGTGCTTTCTGCTTTGGGGGTTAGGATAAATGAATTAAATGTTGATTCAAAATGCAAAGAAAATGGTTGAGACAAGGTTTTCTTCAACTAATGATTCTATTATATCATGATATACTATATCATTATTATATGTTATATATTATGTTATATAGGATATAATTATACTTTTGCAATTGATGCTAAGTATATGGATAATTCACAAATGTGCTGATTTTCCCTGCTGTGGAATACTATCTTTTTTTTTTTAGTTGTTGATGGACCTTTATTTAATTAATTTATTTATATGTGGTGCTGAGAATTGAACCCAGTGCCTCACACACACTAGACAAGTGCTCTAGCACCGAGCTACAACCCCAGCTCTGGAATGTTATCGTTAGCTTTAACAAAATTATATCTTATATATAGAGAGTTCATTCTAAGTAAATATATTTTATTTACTATCTGTGTCTGTCCTTTATCCAGGAAACTACAGATTACCAGTAGGTGATATCTACATGCTAATTTCAAGTATGTTACCTAGGATTTCAAGAAATGTTTTCCCAAAGAAATGTACTATCCAATTGTATATACATATATACAATGAATATAAATAGTGATTACATTCCCCATCTGACCTAAAAGTCTCTTTAATCCACTGTAATGGCAGGGCTGAAATGCTATGTATTTTTAAGAAAATCAGTATGGTTGCCATGCTGGTAAATTACACTAGGTAGAAAAATGATAAGGTGATAAAATTGACTAAGAAATCTCTTTGCAGGTTTCATCTAAAATGCTGATATGCTTGAGGAAATACAGTTATAATTTTAAAAGAGGAGGCTGTAGGGTTTGTGCACCTGTGTGCATGTGTGTCTGCAGTATGTCTATGACCCCTGGGGATTTGTGTAGTCTTCCACCCAGCCTGGCACCACAGAGGTCTCAGCACAACAGGCCTCTTTCCAGAGAAGAGTGCTAAGACTTCTGGATGGGGAGTTGGAATCAGCTCTCAGTAAAGGGTTTGTTAAGAGAAAAAAAAAAAAAGAAATAATAAGAGAGGGAATAGAGAAAAGATCATTTCCTATAAAATCTAGATGAGAATTGGCAGAGTAGAAAGAGGAGATATTTGCTCTCTCTGTGTGTGTGTGTATGTGTGTGTTAAAGAGAGGAAATGGAGGGAGGGAGGGAGGGAAGGAGGGAGGGAGAGGGGGGGAGAGAGAGAGAGAGAGAGAGAGAGAGAGAAATGAGAATATGCAC